TTAATAAATAATAAGATAGGAAACTTTACAGATAAAACCTTGGATTCTAGTCTGAACAACTAAAAGATATCTGGGCCATCTGGGGGCACAGAAAACACTCGAAGAAGAACGTATTTTTATGTAATAAAATTTGAGCTTGGGACTTTTACTCAGCTATAAAAATATAAACCCAGATATATTGTATAGCCAACAGGAGACTTATCTGGGTTGGATGTATATAGATGGTAATTGAAATCGCAGAAGGCTTGAAATAACTTCTAGATAAAATAAATAAACAAGAAAACAAAAGAACACGGTAATCACCAACATTTTAACATTAAGGGCCAGACTGAAAATGAATAATAATCAAAGGAGTGTTTTATAAAGAGCAACCATAGAACTCAGAGTGTAAAGTGCCACAGAGATCCAATGTAACAAAAGGAAAGGAAGGAAGGAAGAAGAAAACATGATCAAGAAATAAAATACTGAAGAGAGAAACAAAAGGAAAGGAAGGAAGGAAGAAGAAAACATGATCAAGAAATAAAATACTGAAGAGAGATTTATTGTTGATATTGATGTTGTTGTTGTTGTTAGGGACCATGTAGTCAGCTCTGACCCATAGATGCCAGATGCAAACAGAATGAAACTCTGCCCAGCCCTGCACCATTCTCTAAGTATCCCTTTGCTTGATCGTACAGGTGCAGTCACCATATCAATCCTTCTACTTGAATCCGTCCTCTTTTCCTTTGCCCCTCGACTTTAGCAAGCATAGGGATTGCTTTCCCCTGGCAACGTATACAAAGTGTATAAAGTGAAGTCTTGCCATCCTTGCCTCTGAGAAATATTTTGGCCATACTTCTCCCAAGACAGATTGTTTGTCCTTTTGATAGTCAATGATACTGCCAATATGTTTATTAGCGGCACCACAATTCGAACACATTGATTCTTCTTCAGTCTTTCTTGTTTAATGTTCAACTTTCACACGCATAAGAGCCATTTGAAAATACCCTGACTTGGGTCCAGTGGACCTTAGTTTACAAAGTATTATCTTTGCTTTTCAATACTCTAAAGAGGTTTTTGTGCAGTGGATTTACACAAACAAGGCGTCTTTTTATTGCTTCCTGCAGCTTCTATGAACATTGACCGTTAATCCAAGCAAGACCAAATCATTGACAATTTCAACCTTTCTCCACTCAGAACTGGACATGCCACAGAGCTTATTGACAAAAAGATCATTGGTGAACGGAAAGAAGGCGTCATAACAAAATGGGGGAGTGAATACTGGTAGTTTGTCGTTGTTTACTGCATTTATTAGATGGAGAGGAAAAGATATAGGTAGTCATTTTAAGGTGGTAAGATTATTGTTAGGAATGAAATAATTGATAATGAAAATGCGATTGTTTTTGTAATAAAAATAAGTTTTTTGACCAGGTTCAAATGATTATTTGTGAGTGACTATAGAGGGAAATACTGTTGCTTTAGACAAGTGGATATTCGGGTCTTTTAAAAAAATGTGGTCTAAAGAGAAGAGTGACTTCAGACAGGTTCATGAAACCCCTGTGGTTTGAGAGTAGACGTATATTTTGATTTCAGGAGTTTGGGCCCTTATCCGGTCAGCACTCTCCCTGGGTCTCCTAATGGTGTAAGCCTGGGTGACATTTTATGACACGCAAGGATATTTTTTCCCATTGCTCAGAAGAAACGTTAATGCATTTGTTTATATTTTGAAGACTTCTTTCAGAATTTATTTATAATTATTCAAATACATTTTATTTTCCTTTTGTTTTTTCTAGAAAAAAATTGTTCTCCTCTTCTATAATATCATCGGGGAAATAATTGAAGCAAACTCAATCTTTCCAGTTATATCAACTAAAGAATGGCACATCATTGGCTAAGAGATCAAAATCCTGATGAATCACAAGAGGAGCAGAATGTGCACCAGCACTTTCCCTCTGTAAACCAACCCCTTTTTCCAAGCCACATCAGTCTGGGTTTTGATGCAGTGATAGATGGGCTCAGGAGTAACATTCCACAATACCAGAGCAAGGTTAAAGAAAACACATTTGTTGTGCCCAGTTCGCCAAACTGGGACTCAAAAAGACATTCGTTAGATGACACATACCAAATGTCTTTGAATAACGTTACCTCAACAAGTTCTCAGCTATCCATGAAGCCAGATAGACAAGCACCAATCATTGGTTTTAAGCCTTCTGTGCTCCCCAAACCTGGAAATGTGATTGCAGAAGGCTCCCCGGGAAACTCCGCAAGAAAAGGTGATGGTGCTGAGGAGTACAGATTCCATAGTGTAGCTCCATCATTCACTAGTTTGGATACAAAGAATGTATGGAGAGATTTAGAAACTGAAAATCATTCCTATGATTTAGGGCTCAAAAATAGCCCTTTCCCTATGTATCCATCTTTCGCAACTGAATATATGAAAAAAGAAAAGTTTGAAAGTATTGGAAATATAACCCTAGCAGAACCTTCTCTGGAGCTCTCTAAAAATTATTTGCTACCCAGGCCTTCGGAAAATGCATTGCCAATGAAAATCGAGGTATGTACTAAAAATATGAACCTGAAAGAATCATTCAATAATATATGAGATAAACATGGTAATGAACAAAGTAACTATAAATAAAAAATCCATTGATATTCCTTTTGCAAAAGTAATTTGTTATTTACAAAGTCCATGTACCTCAACTAATGTTTTTATGTTTGTTATTTTTTCTAAAGAAACTACAAAAATGTTCATGTAAAATTAATTTACAGTTAATTCAAAATAAAATACTACAGTATTTACATTCATATTTGATTAATTTATCATAGTTGTAGGTTACCTGATATATTTTCTGGGCTTATTTTGTTAGTATGCAAAGACACAAACGTCCACGCATTTCATTATATTTATCACTTGTTACATTGCTCTGGCTTAATTTTTTTTACCGTTATTGGTGGAAGAATGTCCTTTTACCTGGGGCTTCAAAATTACACTGATGACAAGTGACTTCTATTAGGGATCATTCTCAGAGTCGGAAATTAAGTAAACTTTGAACAACTAATCCTAATGGTTTCACTAACATATTCTACTCATTTCAGCAACTGAAAAATTCCCTGAATAATATTTTAAAATGTATTGCTTATACAGTGAAGCATTAAGTAGAGTAAAAAGAAGAAACTTGTTATTAAAGTTTCAATTTATAACACCATGCCAAAACAATCATAAGTTAATTCAACGGCTATTATCAAATCCTTGAAATATGCCTGTGATATGCTGAGCAGAATAAATATTGAGGGGTGGGGTGGGGAAATATATATGATACTTGATTTCAGGAAGAGTTAACTGTTCATATAAAAAGGCAAACAAATAATGACAACACAGTAAGTAAAATAATCGATTGGGTGAGGACATAGACAAAGAAACACTCCGTTCCTCCTGAGATAATTCAGAGAAGACAGCACCTTAGCTAATGTGAATGAAACCCCTTACAGAATCATGAATTGGACCTTGTGAATATCGACTTCTGGTCCAGGGAATGAAGCAAAGACACTGTCTTGCCACTGAAGACGACTATAAAGTGAAAGAGCTAAAGCCGTGTCCATGGAGTCAAGTTTGACTCAGACCGACACTACCGGTTGGACTAGAACACCTCCCTACGCGTTCAAAGGCTGTGAGCAGACAGACTCATCTTTCCTGAAGAGCCCACAGCCCACTATGCCAAAAGGGCTCCTTAACATGTATAAACGTGGGTACAATATATGAAATAACTGACTTTAAGCATTAAATAACATGTAATATAGGGCCTTGATCTTTGAGAAAAAGGAAGCATACACCTTTGGCCTTGTGAACTTCCTGGTTTCCTGCCTGATAGCCCTTTCTTCCTGCAATGCGGAGTGGTGAAATCCAATTTGAAGTGTTATCATTCAATTTATGGAGCAGTGACTGTATTTCAAGCAGGTGAAATTCGCCTACCAAGGAGCTGGGGAAGAAAGATCTAAAGTGGGTATGAGGCAGAAGCAAAGCTTAAAAGAGCCTGCCTTCTTTATGCTGAGAACCAAATGGCCATGTTGTTCACCATAAACAAGTAGACACTTTGAAATACAGGAATCTCAACTCAGCCACAGAGGAAACGGAACTGAGAACTTCAGGCAATTAGTTCAGAGCTCAGAATATCATCCCTTGAAAATAAAAATGATACTGTAAAATAAGTACCACCCTCACCAAAACACATATAGCATTAAAAATATATATATATCAAGGTTGAGATGACCAAAGGAATCTTATATGCCTGCCAGAGAAAACTACACTTTGTGAGAAAATAAAAAGACAACTTAAACCAGTGTGCCATTAACAGTGACCAACATGTAATAGAAAATACACAGATACATAAGTAATAAGGAAAGTTTCACCCTCACCTCAAGAAAAAAGAAAACAATCCATTAAAAGACACTCTAAGTGCCTCTTCTCCCCTATTGGTCCTGAGGGGTTTATCTGCTCTGGATTCTCTGTGTTGCAAGCTCTTATCTGTACCAGTATAAGTGTTCTGGTCTAGCCAGATTAACAAAATAAAGTTGGGGTCATGGTAGTGGGGGGGAGCCTTAAAGAACTAGAGGAAGGGTGTGTGCTTAGTCAGTGCTATACTGCACCCTGACTGGCTCTTCTATTCCTTGTGGCCCTTCTGACAGGGGATGTCCAATTGACTGCTGGTGGGCTTTGGGTCTCCACTCCGCACGCCCCTCATTCCCACTGATATGCTTTTGTTTATTTTGTTTTGTTTTGTGTTTTTGATGCCTGATACCTGATCCCATCAACACCTCATAATCACACAGGCTGGTGTGCTACTTCCACGTGGGCTTTGTTGCTTCTCAGCTAGATGGCCGCTTATTTATCTTCAAGCCTTTAAGATTCCAGACTTTATATATTTTGATAGCTGGGCACCATCAGCTTTCTTCACCACATTTGCTTATGCGCTCATTTTATCTTCAGCAATCATGTCAGGGAAGGTGAACATCACAGAGTGCTCTGTTAGTAGAACAAATTGTTCTTGCGTTGAGGGAGAACTTGAGTGGAGGCCCAATGTCCATCTGCTACCATAGCATTACTAGGAGGGTAAAGGAGAGAGAGGGAATAAGGAGGAACCGATAACACTAATCCACATATGTCCCTCCTACCAGGAGGATGGACAGCAGAAGAGTGGGTGAAATGAGTCAGGGTAAGACATGAAAAAAAAATTATCAAGGGGTTATGGGGAGGGAGGGAGAAAATGAGAAGCTGATGCTAGGGGCTCAAGTAGAAAGAAAAGATTTTTAAAAGGATGATGACAACATATGTATGGATGTATTTGACACAATGGACATATGTATGGATTGTGATAAGAGAACCCAATTAAAAAAGAGAGAGAGAGACTAAGAAAATCCAGATGTGGAAATGAATACACAGGACTTTAAACTGGGGGAAGGGAGACAACGGAAAGTGTAAGATATGAAATAATAACAATATATAATTGATCAAGGATTCATGAAGGTGAGAGGGTGGGGGACAGAGGGGGAAAAGAGAAACTTATACCAAGGACTCAAGTAGAAAATGTTTTGGAAATGATGATACCAAATATGCACAAATTTGCTTGATACATGATGTACGGAATGTTATAAAAGCTGTAAGAGCCCTCAATAAAATGATAGTCATAAGTGGATCAAACAGTAGTCTCAACTTAAATTTATAAACTATGATAAAAAGACATGCATAAAGAAAAATAAATGAAAATTCTGGTACTGAAAATATACCTTTTGAAATAAAAAGGACACTAGATAGGCTTTAAAATGCATGTAACCCCTTCCTAGGGGTATGGACAACAGAAAAGTGGGTGAAGGGAGACAGTGGTTGGGGTAAGACATGGGGGGAAAATTTATAAATTATCAAGGGTTCATGAGTGAGGGGGTGGGGCAGGGGGAAAATGAGTTCATATTAAGGACTCAAGAAAAAAGAAAATGTTTTGAAAATGAAAATGGCAACATATGTACAAATATGCTTGACACAATGGATGCATGTACGGATTATGATAAGTGCTGTACCAGCCCCAATAAAATTATTTTTACAAAAATACGTATGAGATGGCAACTCTGTATTTCTGTGCAAGTTTTCCTTCAACTTAAAACTACTCTAAAAATTAAGTATATTAAAATATACTTCAAATAAAAGAAGTTTAAAAAGAAACACATACTACTCATCTATAGTAATAGAAAGCTGAATAAAAGTAGTTGTCAAAAAAACTATTGGATTGACATGAGGAAGCTTTCTAAAATGATGTTCTCTGTTTTGACTAACAGAGTGGGTCAAGTGGGGGTATTGATTTATTGTTTGTATTCATTTATCATTTCTTAAATTATGCACTCAAGATAGGTGCATTTCTCTGCTTAAATGTTATTTAATTAAAGTGGAAACTAAATAAGCATTTTAAACAAGAAAAAGCGTAACATAACAGGATATAATTAAATATATATGTTAATCTTCCTTTAACACCAAACTGTATTGACAGTTTTTGTTTTGTTTAAGCCAATAGGTTGTTATATTCAGCTTATCGAAGTACCTCAAGGAAGTAATATGAACTTGGCCTCCTTTTGTGACAAAGTAAAAAAGTGAGTATTGCTTTTTCATTAAACACTGAACTATCTATGCCTGAATAAAAGGGGATATTTTTATGATTTGAATAGATTAATTTTGAATATACAATTTCAAAACTTGTGAACGAAATTCAATCATTTGTGAACACAGTAAAAATCCAAGTTTTTGCTGAATTAATTCATTAGCTGGTGAAATTGTTTTGGCTCTTTATAACCCAATGAAATTTTTTCATGAAAATTGATTTAAGTAGAATAGTGTATAAATTCAGAATGACTTGCTGACTGCAAGTCAAATGGTTTACAGTGAATTTGTTTATTTACTGACATGAGTCACTGACTCCTCTGACTCAGCGACCAACTAGCACGGATGTATCCTTTCTGCCTGGGGTACTCTGAGAATCATGAAAATGTATTTCTCTAACTGTAGAACCTACCTTTCATTCCACCACCTGTCTGTCCAGCACAGGATTGGGAAGAGTTTCATTCTGTTGTGCAGAAGGGACTCAATAGCACCTTAAAATCCACCATGAAAAAGCCACCCTTCACTAGACAGTCAGGATTCAACAAAGGCATGGATGTGTGCCTGTTCATACTTACATCTGATCACTAGAAAATATTACAAAAATTAGCCCTCAGAATCTGCTACTCTGCCAGCTATTAGCTTTTAGCCAATTAAATTGTAGGAGAGTAGGTAGGAAAGAGGGAACCGATTACAAGGAACTATATGTGACCTCCTCCCTGGGGGACAGACAACCGAAAAGTGGGTGAAGGGAGACGTCGGACAGGGCAAGATATGACAAAATACCAATTTATAAACTATCAAGGGCTCATGAGGGAGGAGGGAGCAGGAAGGGAGGGGAAAAATGAGGACCTAATGTCGGGGGTTTAAGTGGAGAGAAAATGTTTTGAGAATGATGTACAAATGTGCTTTACACAATTGATGTGTGTATGGATTGCGATAACAGTTGTATGAGCCCCTAATAAAATGTTTAAAAAAATTGTAGGTGTATTGGTCTGGGTATTTTAGAGAAACAAATCCACTGGAATTCATATGTATAAGATGGAGTTTTATATAAAGGGTAAGTGTACATCATGAAAACATCCCAACCCAGTGCTGGCCAAGCCCACAGTCCAACATTAACCCATCAATTCATATGTCCGACACCAATCCACAGAGTCCTCCTCCATCTCACAAAGCACACACTATGATGCCAAATGTGTGATGCTATGATTTGCACTCATGTAATGACATGTTCATTCTCAATTGTGTGATTTGATGTGGTCATCCCGTTTTTATGTAATGCGAGTTTTCACGTAACATATTCTTTGGAATCAAACATATCACGATGTAAGGAGTGACTGTGGATAATTCTTAAAGGACTGTGATGCTCAAGGTCGTTCCACGTAAGTTCAATGATTGTTTGATTTTAGAAAAACATCTGGAGTTCTTGATTTAAGGTTTAAAGATGATCTCTTAGCAACCATCTCAGGGTTTTATCCAATTTCAATTGCTCCACAAAGTCTGGAGTTCATGGAAATCTTAAATTCTATTATACAGTTTCCTCTTTTTGAGCGGGACGCTTTTATAACTCCCCCCACCCCCCACCCCCAAATGCTCAGTAATGGTAACTAGGCAGCATCCCAATTTTCTGGTCTTGTGGTAAAGGAGACAGCTGTTCAAGCAAAGAGTAGCATATTCCGTTTCCTCTTCCTCTTCCTTATTCTCTGTCCTTTGTTGCTGCTGGTGAATAGACATCAACTGTCACCATTGCTTCAGGCGAGATGTTCCTTAGAAAGTTTCAAGATGGTCCTTTATACTTTTTCTTAGCAAAGATGGAATCTGTCAACCTAGCATAGCACAATACTGCAAATCAACTGTCCATTATGTCATATTTAAAATATTTTATAGCAAAGCCCTATATGAGATTGCTTACAATTATACTGTGGGAATTATGTTTAAATGATATCTGACAGAGTGTGTCCTAAATATGTTTCTTACATTGATTTGTCAGAATTAAGGGAGCATATCCTGCAGCTGATACCGACTCTAACTCTGGGAAGGTCTGGAGCATTGTAACCGCATTCCCATATGAGCTCTTCTCTAAGACAAGATTTAATATCAACATCATTACTAACTACTCAGCACACCTACTTCATCTTATGCCATATGGTAAGCAACCTTACAAATAATAACAGTCTACATAAAGCTGTTGGGGGCTGTGGTTCCTTGAATCCACAAAATAAAATAATTTTTTAAAAAACATTATTAGCTACTGTTTTGCCCTGAAGTGAAATAGAGAGGGAAGCAGCAGGGAGCCTTTTGTTAACACTTGTGAGGAAGGGGGGAACTATGGTCTTCGAGATTCTACTACATAGATCACCCTAAGCTGTCGTCTCCCTGCTGTGGAATGCTCAATAGCAAATACAGGAGTTTTCTAGCACATTAAAACAAAACAGTGACTTTCCACAGCTTCTAGATAAAAGTGAGATATATATGAAAATGGCTGTTCATAAACATTAGGAGCCACAGTTTGACTCAAATGTAAATAAAATCTGAGCGAGCAGGCTTTGAGACACAGAGTTCATTAGCAACAGTCCCAAAGCGAGAAGCGTCCTATCCCTGTGTCACCTGAGGTCCAGCAGAATTCACAGACCTTTTGAGCCGGGATCTCTGGGGTGGAGTACAGGAACCTGTTTTACCCATTCACCAGGTGGTTTCTCTAAAGATTTACAAACATTATTATGGTGCACTCTTATGAGCTATTAGTCATCACAATGAACTCAAACATACTAGCAATCAAGAATATAGCATAGCACGACAAAAACACATTTTTTCCCTATCAGACACATCACCCTGAGTTAGAAATGACATGGCAGAAACTACCAAAAACGTTTTTGTTGTGGATACATTTGAGTTCCTTTCTCTGGCTATTGTGCCAGTCATCTCATTGAGTATTTTCCAGGTTTTCATTGATGTTCTACTTTACCAAACACGATAGATATCCTTTACTAGAGATTGGTCTTTCCTGATGATATGGCTGAAGTAATTTGCAGCCATACCCTCCTATTTTCTAAAGAACATCCTTAGAACATGTGTTCTTCCTTTAGGAAAAGAATATACAGATATCCAGAGAGGGAGACTGAAATTAAAGAGTGCAGTTTGGACGAATAGAAACGGCTATCCTGCTTCCCAATTATACTCCCTTCTCAAGCAACTGAAGCCAACATGACCTCGACTCCTAACCTTTCTGAGAGGATCAAGGTGCAGGGTAGCTGACCTGGGATGGGCAATCTGAATTCTTCTTTACGACTGTGGAAGTAAATCCAACAAAAATATAGAATCTGTTGCTGGTGGCTGCCCTGGTAGCACAAAATCTTGAGTATTGTGTTCTGGAGAATTAGATTTGGAAGTATATTTGAAGAGAGCAGGAGAATCCTGGGAAGGAAAAAGAGAAGCCATGAGGAAATGAGGGGAGAGTATACAGGAATGTTGAAAAGTATTCACTACATCCCAAAGTCACCAGGTGATTATTAATTCTCTGAAAATTTAAAACTGCAATCCTTAATTGCAGTATTAGCCATAACAGTGAACTCAAATATATTGATAATCAACAGGAAATGAGGTGAAAGGTATACACTACATATTCTTTCCCAGCACAATAGTGTGTGAACATATCAATACTTTGTCTTCTTTTTTGTTGTTGTTATCCAACTCTCACATGCATACATGGAGTTTCTACTGATCTAAGCATTGTTTCTGGTGATAATGATACATTTTTCTTTTACTCTCAAAGTATTTTTATTATTACATGTTTTCTTTCTAATGCTACAAAGTTTAGTAAGTACCATAAGATGGTTCGCATATCAGTCAGAACCACCTGCTTGAACAGACGGCAACGTCTGCTTGATTACACAGAAAGAATACCCTAGGAATGGATTTTACTATGGAGTTCAAGAGTAGGAATTTATCTAGAGTTAGAAATGTTCTGTAAGAAAAGTGAATAAATAATCCAACTTTCCTGTATATATCTCACCTCAAACCCTCACTGCTTCTCTCCTCACTGCTTCTCCCCCGCTGCTCTGCCTCTCTGCCGATGCCCTTCCTGTGCTTCTCCAGCTCCTCCAGAGCCAACCCTCAGGCCTCTGTGCTAACTGGACAGCCACCTACAGTCGATTCAATATCGCGATTGGATTTCATTCACGCTGCACTGCAGAAACACGGAGACGTGATCCTTTATTCCTGATGAGAGTTTCTCTCACTCCCTGCTGAGACAATGTGGTCTGAAGTCTACGGGAGAAAGTGTGATTTGCTCTAAATACTGTGAAGTCTAATTAATGATGGGGAAAATATGTTTTCCGTTTTAATTGTCTGAAGTATAAATGATTTATGTAAAAAAATGGATTCAAATTGCCCATCGTAGATCAGGTAGCCTTCACTTTGATCTAATCAGAATGTAAAGGAACAGTAGTTCTCAACCTTCCTCATGCCATGACTCTTTAACATAGCGCCTCATGCTGTGGTGACCCCCAAACCATAAAATTATTTTTGTTGCTCCTTCATTACTGCAATTTTGCTATTGTTATGAGTCAGGCAACCCCTGTGAAAGGGTTGTTCTACCATTAAAGGGGTCACAACCCACAGGTTGATAACCGCTGGCTAGGAGTCTAGGCCAGGTTGACTTCAGTTGCTTGAAAGAGTGAATAATTGTGGAGTAGGGCAACCCTTTCTATTCTTCCAAACTACAATCTTTAATTTCAGCATCCTTCTTTGGGCATCTAATTGCAAAATTAGGAAGCAAAAAAAAAGAAACATCTTTTACCTCTATGAGAAGTTTCAGAAAATAACTAGGCCATTGTTTATAATGTTAGAGATTCAAAGTCCATCCCCTCGATGATGTGAGTAATTATTTAGCAGAAGAAAGAAAAAGGAGTGGAGGATGACAGGAAGTAGAAAGCAGGTGACGAAGATGTAAAAGAGAAAGAAACACAGATATTAAAGTAAACAGAGTAGTCTATCTTATTTGAGTCTTTTCTTGTACTTCAAATGTGCTTTAAACATAGGCTGAAGTTGTTTGGAAGGAACATTTCTATAAAAGAAACTATCGCTGTAATGAAATACATGAAACAATAAAATTAAACAACAGACACACACAAACAACCTTGCCATCAGCTGAGCTGACTCATAGAGACCCCATAGAACAGAGTAGAACTGCCTCAAAGGGTTTCAAGATTCGACTCTTTATGGAACCAAATGACACCATCTTTCTGCTATGGTGCAGCTGGTGAATTTGAAGCACTGACTATTCAATCAACAGGCAGACACTTAATAACTTGCCATCAAGCCTACTGGGAAAGGATGAGAATGGACAAGAGGGTTTCATTCAAGAATTCTGCTTCCCGAAGAATAAAGAAATTGCATCCTTTTAAAGGAGCAGCTGCTTTGAACAAATAATTCTCTCTTCCCCAGCTTTCAGCTACTTCTATATGAAGATATCTAAATTCCTATTTCTAACTCCAACCTTTCTCAGAAAAGCAACATTTGAATTTTATTTGGATATAATAAATAGGAGGTCTCTCGTGACTTTTAAAATGTTGGAATTAGAAGAAAATTTGCAAAAAAATAAAGAGTAAGTGATGCCTGTGAGCTGAATATGTTTACTAATTAAAGAAGTTTCACAACAAAGAGGAGGAACAAAAGAATGAGGAAGAATTTTCCTGGAAGGTTAAATGGAAAGGGAATCATTTAGAAAAAAAGAACAGTGGTGAATAGTAGGGAATATTGAATATATAAAAAAGAGAGGGATTAATTAATGGAAGTGGTTCCATGCATCAGAAAGATCATAGTTTAAGAAGTAAGATTTGATAGGGGTGGGTGGGGAAGTAGAGGTAGCTCCAAAAAGAGATATAAAGGAATAGAGGGGGATGGCTGAAAACTAGAATTTGAGGTGCAGAGTATACAAAAAATATTTTAAAGGGCCTCTCAGTCTTTTCAAGAAGTAGGCAATATGGTCAAGAATGTGAGAAAGACCTGGCTGAGTGAGAGATGAAAGAGATTGGAAGATAATATCAGCTGCCAAAATAACAGCACTAAGATCAAATCTGTTATAACAAAGTCATAATACTTACTGGGTTACAACATGATCAAGAAGTTTAACTCAGAGATGCACGGTGTTTGACTCTGTGTTAGTCTGGGTACTTTAGAGAAACAAATCCACAGAAACATATGTTTAAGGGAGAGTTTTATATAAAGGGTAAGTGCACATCAAGAATACATCCCAACCCCATGCTGCCCAAGCCCACAAGTCCAACATTAACCCATATGTCTGACAGCAATCCACAAAGTCCTCCTCCATCTCACAAAACAGATGCAATGATGCCGACTGCAGGTGGAAAGCCAAGTCAGTGAATGTGTAAGCATCTCAGCACTGGTAGGGGTCTCCACATGGCTGCTCCAGCACCCAGGGCTGCATTGGGGTGGTCCATGTGTCTTCTTCTCTGGGATGTCTTGCAGGAAGTGACCTTTGCCAGCTGAAGCAGGGAACTGGCTAATGCAGCTGCACCCTAGTCTGACCATCAGAAAGCAAGAGACCTGAGAGCTAGAAAGGCGAGGCTCTCTGAGCCATTTATCCCTCCGCCCTTCAATTAGACCTACATGTGTTTATTGGCCAGGTTGGCACAATAAACTAACTACCTCAGACTCTGATGAGAAACATGGTGATTTCAGGCTTAGAAGATTTCAGGTTCAATTTGAAATAATAATGAAATATCTAACAAGTAGCATCAGACATGAATGAGTATTCATCAGACAAAATCACAGGAGACAAGTAGTGGCTAGAAATTGAATTATGAAATTGTTCATGGAGTGTAGGGTGGTAATGACAGCAAAGAAATGAACTTATGCATATTCCACTTAGCACAGTGGTTGTGGTCCTGGAAAGGGGTCGGCCAGCGTAGTGAATAGAGGCAATTCCTGTCTTTCAGATACTCTGTCATCACACACTGACATTGTTCTCCCTTCTTGTCAAAGTCCTTACAGTCATGGTTTTAACTCGGACTATACTCATATTTTCTGATGGCTTCACTACATACCAAATTAGGCTAATCTCCAAAATTAAAAGAAGTTTCTTTAAGATCCATTCTACTGAGTAAAAGCATATTATAATCCTCACT